CCACTAGCCAGGAACGGTCAAGCCTGACGTTTTGACCGCATTTTGAAACGGGCATAAAAAATTCAAAAAAAATCAGAAAATTGGAAAACCTTCGCATTGTGTCATTATATGTGACCAAGTTTTCAGGAAAAATAATAAACTTGTAATACGGTAATTATTTTTAAAAAGTGTTCTCAGAAATGATCGATCATGCGTGAAGATTCATGGCTTTCAAGCCAAATGATCAATCTTATGGCCACATTCATGGCATAGTTTGTTCAAATGATCTCATATTGTGCACAAGGTCACATCTTGGAATTCCAAACAATGTTGCCAAAGGAAGTTTTCATTTTCTTTGCACCGAAAATTCATTTTTCATTTTCCGAGTGCCCAAAAGGAGGTTTTTTTTGTGAAGGAACTACCAAATAATTGTTGCAAAAATGGACCAAATCAATTTTACAAAATACTAGGCCATATATAATGCACAATTGACAAAATGGTTGGGTGTCAAATTTTTTGATCCACCTCTGGTGAAAAAGAAAATTCCCGTCAATTCAGGTGGAAGTGGGTCAAATTTGAACTGCAGCTGCCTCATAGTTTGCTCTTTATTTTTTCCAAAAATCATTTCAACATAATTAAGTATCTATTTAATCATAGAAACACCAAAAAAATTCCAAGATTCAACCACTAGCTAGGAACGGTCAAGCCCGCCGTTTTGACCGCATTTTGAAACGGGCATAAAAAATTCAAAAAAAAATCAAAAAATTGGAAAACCTTCGCATTGTGTCATTATATGTGACCAAGTTTCCAGGAAAAATAATAAACTTGTAATACGGTAATTAGTTTAAAAAAGTGTTCTCAGAAATGATCGATCATGTGTGAAGATTCATGGCTTTCAAGCCAAATGATCAATCTTATGGCCATATTCATGGCATAGTTTGTTCCAATGATCTCATATTGTGCACAAGGGTACATCTTGGAATTCCAGACAATGTTGCCAAAGGAAGTTTTCATTTTCTTTGCACGGAAAATCCATTTTTCATTTTCCGAGTGCCCAAAAGGAGGTTTTTTTGTGTAGGAACTACCAAATAATTGTTGCAAAACTGGACCAAATCAATTTTACAAAATACTAGGCCATATATAATGCACAATTGACAAAATAGTTGGGTGTCAAAATTTTTGATCCACCTCTGGTGAAAAAGACAAATTCCCGTCAATTCAGTTGGAAGCGGTCAAATTTGAACTGCAGTTGCCTCATAGTTTGCTCTTTATTTTTTCCAAAAATCATTTCTTGGTAAATAAGTATCTATTTAATCATAGAAACACCAAAAAAATTCCAAGATTCAACCACTAGCTAGGAACGGTCAAGCCCGCCGTTTTGACCGCATTTTGAAACGGGCATAAAAAATTCAAAAAAAAAATCAAAAAATTGGAAAACCTTCGCATTGTGTCATTATATGTGACCAAGTTTCCAGGAAAAATAATAAACTTGTAATACGGTAATTAGTTTAAAAAAGTGTTCTCAGAAATGATCGATCATGTGTGAAGATTCATGGCTTTCAAGCCAAATGATCAATCTTATGGCCATATTCATGGCATAGTTTGTTCAAATGATCTCATATTGTGCACAAGGGTACATCTTGGAATTCCAAACAATGTTGCCTAAGGAAGTTTTCATTTTCTTTGCACGGAATATTCATTTTTCATTTTGCGAGTGCCCAAAAGGAGGTTTTTTGGTGAAGGAACTACCAAATAATTGTTGCAGAAATGGACCAAATCAATTTTATAAAATACTAGGCCATATATAATGCACAATTGAGAAAATGGTTGGGTGTCAAAAATTTTGATCCACCTCTGGTGAAAAAGACAAATTACCGTCAATTCAGTTGGAAGCGGGTGAAATTTGAACTGCAACTGCCTCATAGTTTGCTCTTTATTTTTTCCAAAAATCATTTCTAGGTAAATAAGTATCTATTTAATCATAGAAACACCAAAAAATTCCAAGTTTCGACCACTAGCTAGGAACGGTCAAGCCCGCCGTTTTGACCGGATTTTGAAAAGGGCATAAAAAATTCAAAAAAATCAAAAAATTGGAAAACCTTCGCATTGTGTCATTATATGTGACCAAGTTTCCAGGAAAAATAATAAACTTGTAATACGATAATTATTTTTAAAAAGTGTTCTCAGAAATGATCGATCATGCGTGAAGATTCATGGCTTTCAAGCCAAATGATCAATCTTATGGCCACATTCATGGCATAGTTTGTTCAAATGATCTCATATTGTGCACAAGGGTACATCTTGGAATTCCAAACAATGTTGTCTAAGGAAGTTTTCATTTTCTTTGCACGGAAAATTCATTTTCCATTTTCCGAGTGCCCAAAAGGAGGTTTTTTTGTGAAGGAACTACCAAATAATTGTTGCAGAAATGGACCAAATCAATTTTATAAAATACTAGGCCATATATAATGCACAATTGAGAAAATGGTTGGGTGTCAAAATTTTTGTTCCACCTCTGGTGAAAAAGACAAATTTCCGTCAATTCAGCTGGAAGCGGGTCAAATTTGAACTGCAGCTGCCTCATAGTTTGCTATTTATTTTTTCTAAAAATCATTTCTAGGTAAATAAGTATCTATTTAATCAGAAATACATGGTTTGATGGCGAGACATCGAGGTTTAGACGGTGGCCGAGGGCCCCAACACTAGAGCGCGTAAGCTCGCATGCCCGCCGCGTGGTTACCGCGTGACCGTGGCGTTGCCATGTGTTCTGGGCGGCCTAGGCATGTCTAGTGGGTTGGACACTCCCCAGGTAGGTGCTAGGAAGAAAATCACAACATAAGATTCTCACGAGGAGACCGATCGATGCTCAAACATGAATAAGTAGCCAAGTGTTTGATTTGCGGTACGGGAAATGCACATGGCTAATGGGTGTGAGTTTTGGCTGAGGATGACCAGTTACTAAGAAGACCGTCTTCACAAATTTTCACCTCAAAAGGAGGAGCCTAGGTGGTACTTGCTTTGCAACGTACCACACTGGACATAAATATGAATGTTGTAGCTGGGCTCAAAATAATGAATGGATTGAGCTGGCATTTGGTGGAGGATGTTTGTTTGGGCATAGAAAAGCACTGTAGAAAATGGATACCATTTGGACATGCCAAAGTGGTACTTCCTTCACAAAGTGCTGCTCTGAACAAAATAGGAAAATGAATATTGTTGAGTTATTTTTGAACTAGGAAAGGAATGTTTTTTACATATTTGATGAAGATATGATCCAAAACATTTATGAGAATTTTTTAGGAATTTTTGGAATAACAAAAATATAGGTTGCTTCACAACCTAGGGCAAAAACTACCACATGGACATGACACATAGGCAAAACTGATGAGATGGCGCCTAGTCATCACAACCCACCACAATCTACAAGGCTATGACCATCTATATTGGTCGTTAACAACTAGAAATAAGGCAGCGGACTAGCACTGTTTGCTTTGTGACCATTTCGTGTAAGGAAATTACGACCTTTCTGACCAAAATGGTCGCAATGGTTTAGGGTTTGGAGCCCCCCGAACAGTTTTTGACCAATTGGTCTGAAATGGTCATAGATCTATGACCAATTCTTTCAGGGTCACTGACAAAAGGTCACTAGTTGACATATTTCTTGTAGTGATAGTATGCTTTTCAGACTTGTTGCTCGGATTATAAACTATTAGCTGTGTTATGACTTCATATCAATTTCCTGGGGATGATTTTGGATGGGTGGTCGGTGGCGCGTGGAGGACTGGGTGGATCAACCAGATCCGATGTGAGGAAGTGAGAGCAGTGTCGTGCAAATGCCTTGTTACCAACGATGGCAAGAGCTAGTAGCGATGTCCGCGGACGTCCTTCAATTCTTGAAAGCATGGTTGTGGTGTTGTGCTCCTCTACTTTTCCCAGGCTCTGGGCTCCTTCGGAAAAGTCAGACCCTTCTTTTCACCGGGTCGGATGATGACGATGCCTTGCATCATGTCCCTCAATGGGGCATCATTTTCAGAGTCAGGACCCTCTGAAGGGAACAAATGTGCTTCCTTGCGCGCGTGTGTAGCAAAGGTGGCTAGGCAGGGGCGTGGAAAGGTCGTGGTCACTTTGTTGCGGTGGAGTCAGAGCTGTGTGACGGCTTGGTTCACATGGCAACGATGCCAAGTGTCTGGTGGCCTAGCTCAGTGATCATACACGATGCAGGCTTGCGTAGTCCCCCATCCTAGTTCATTATCGGATTCGTCGTTGCGTGCACCTCACGACTTTTGCAGTGTGGGCTTTGTGGGCGTCAAAGCCAAATGTCGCTTGCTCGGGGACAAGTGATGACGATGATGCCAACACACAACCTCGATGATGCCTATTTCTTAGCGGTGTCTTGCGTCTTTTGTGTGACAATATTTTGCTAATTGACCACGATATATATGGTACTCCCTCCGTCACGGTTTATAAGGCGCACTTGAAAATTCTCTGGGATCTAGGTGGTTATCTATTGGCTGTGAGATGGGCTAAAAAATAACATTCACACTACGCATGCATATAGGAATAGTATATCGGAGTACTACTTAGCTACTAGAAATAAATGCAATGCGCCCTAAACCTTGTCTATTGTGGAAACGCACGTAAATTTAACTGTGCCTTCTAAACTGTGACGGAGGAAGTATAAATACAGACTTGTAAACTTCGTCAAACTTTAAGTTATATATATAAGACAACCTACATATACGTATTAATAGTCCATATTTTAACTTGGCCGCGAGTACAATATGCTCCTAACTGCTATTATTATAACTAGCAAAAAGGGCAGACCGTTGCAACGGGAGAAAAAAATACCACACACACTTGCTGATGAAGACAATCGCTCTATAAATACCGACGCCAACGCCGCGGGATGCAGCGGCACAACTCAAAACAAGAGTTCCAAAGTGAAGCAGCTCAACTGCGCCATGCATGCAAACAAGACTTCTCCAGCGAATGAGAAGGACGGAATTAACATCTCCGTGGACATGTACCCCTTCATACGCAAGTACAAGGACGGCAGCATCGAGCGTTTCCTGCGCAGCCCATTCGTGCTGGCGCCGCCGGATCAGGGCAGCAACCGCGGGGTGGCGACGAAGGACGTCGTCGTCGACAAGGCCACTGGCGTCTCTGTGCGCCTGTTCCTCCCGTCCCGTGCCGCCGGGACCGCAGGCAGGAATCGGCTTCCTCTCGTCCTCTACGTCCATGGCGGCTCGTTCTGCACGGAGAGCGCTTTCGGCCGTACGTACCACCGCTACGCGACCTCCCTCGCCGCCAGCGCCGGAGCCCTCGTCGTGTCAGTGGAGTACCGTCTAGGTCCGGAGTTCCCCATACCCGCGGCCTACGACGACGCGTGGGCCGCGCTCCAGTGGGCGGCATCCTTGTCCGACCCATGGCTGGCCAGCTACGCCGACCCTACGCGCACGTTCAAGGACGCGTTTGGGTATGGCATGGCCATGAAGTCCTGGGGCACACGCTCCAGTATGGCACGTAACAGTGCTACTTACCTGAAAACTGGAAGGGTTGGCCCATCCAAGAAAATCTCAGTTCGACTGCCGATGCCTGCTGCGGTTCCGTGGACTTGTGTGATCAACAACTTTTTCTAGATAACGGCCGGCCAAAGGGTATGCCCTTCTCCTACAGTCCTACGTATACTACACTAAATAAAACAGAAAGAGTCTCCTATTAGTTATAACTTATAAGTCATGTGTTCTTGCAAAATAAAAGCTATTAGTCATGTGAGTCCTTCACCCCAACAGCTGGATTATTGTATTAATTAAAAGGGTCCTCTTGGTCCTATTCCTTGGTATTTGTGGGAGATCAAATTCACAAATGTATGCCCATTAATTACCGAGCAGGGAATTATACGTCAAGTTGTGTACTTTATCTTATTATATTATTCATAAACAGGTATCATATAAATGTAGATTGTATGTCTTCCCTTAAAAAAAGTATTGTATACCTTATCATGTCGAACTCTTATTTTGTATTGAATGTTATTGTACATGTAATATTGGATTCTCAAGGCGTTGCATGTTCATGGTGCTTATTATGTCCTTTTTTCTTGCACTAGCAAGTGTGCCCGTGCGTTGCAACGGGTTAACAACAAAAGAGTCATAAAATTTATAGCCCCACAATAAAACAAGTCGAATTCAGGCAAATCCAACCTACCATCAATTTTACAGATCAATAATTAAGAATGTGCTTGTTAATGGTGCAGCAAGCCCCGTGATCAGACATCGCCGGGGGCTCAGACAGGGGGGGCGGCTTTCGCCCTTTTTGTTCTTTCTAGCCATGGAGCCTCTGCAAAAACTTCTGGTCAACGTTGTGCAAGAGGGGGCCTTATCCAAGATCAAAGGCAGGGTGCCAGCTTTCCACACCTCATTGTATGCCGACGACGTTGCAATCTTCCTTAATCCTGTCAGGTAAGAAGTGCTCACCCTCAGATTGATCCTTCGCAGCTTCGGACACGCCACGGGTCTAAGGGTCAATTTTAGTAAGAACACGGTGATTGCCATCAACGGCGCGAGTTTGTCGTTAACATACATTGCTGGGCCGCCGGGGGCGCCGTGTGGGACCTTACCCTACAAATTTCTTTGCCTCCCGCTCTCTCTCCGCAAGCTGCGTAAGATAGACCCACAACTGCTTATAGACAAGCTCGTGGCAAGATTAGCTGGTTGGAAATTCAAGTTGCTTGCGGCAGCAGGGCGCCTGGTTCTGCTAAACTCCGTCCTGTCGGCTTTCACGGTCTACTGGATGTCTGTGCATGAGATGCCGGCATGGATGCGCCGGCAGATCGACAAGATTCGGCGGGCTTGGCTTTGGAAGGTCCAGGAATTCTGCCATGGCGGGCATTGTAAGGTGGCTTGGGGGCGCATTTGTAGACCGGGCGAGCTTGGACGGCTCGGCATCTTAGACCTGCATTATTTTGGAGTGGCGTTGCGGCTGCGCTGGCTGTGGCTGGAGCGGACGGCGACGACGAAGCCATGGGTCTGGCTGCCTGTCCCGTGCTCCACTCCTGAGCGACTGCTGTTCGCGGCTGCCTCTACCGCGACTGTCCGTGACGGCAAAATGGCGAGGTTCTGGTTCGACAGCTGGCTACTTGGGGAGGCCCCGATCACCATCGCGTTAGGCATCTTCATGCTCTCACGGCGCAAAATGCGGTCGGTCCAGGATGCGCCGCGAGATGGGAAGTGGGTCAAGGATGTGCACGCCCGAGTCACTTTCGCCCTCCTCCCGGAGTTCGTGGCTTTGTGGTCTAAACTCTAAAGTTTCCGCGGCCGATTCGATCGCTGTGGGGCAACACGAGTTCTCCTGGAACCTCACGTAATCCCGGAACTTCACCACCGCTTCGGCATATCGCCTGCAATTCTTGGGCCCTACCAGATCGCTAGCCTACGAGATTATTTGGAAGGTGTTGGCGCCCGCCAAAATCAAACTATTCGCATGGCTCCTGCCAATCTACAGACTGCTCACCGCTGATCGGCTCTTGGCGCGGCAGTGGCCAAATAGCTACTTTTGCCCGCTCTATCGTCACAGTCTTGAAACCAACGTGCACCTCTTTCAAGAGTGCCATTGGTCGAAGCAGCTCTGGTTGAGGGCTGCTGTTCGTTTTGCCATCCCGTCGCTGCAACCCGCGACTTGGTCCACAACTGGCGGCTTCCACGCGGACTGGCTCGCGCAGCTTGGCGTGTCGGTAACACATGTCAAGAGCTCGCGCTCGATCGTGCTCATAATCCTCTGGGGCATTTGGAAGGAACGTAATGACAGGATCTTCAATGACGCGGAGCATGTCCTGGAGGTGGTACTGGATCGGCTCGGAGATGAGCTCATGTTTGGGCGCTTGCCGGGGGTAGTCATCTGATGCTGCGATAGTAGCCTCAGGCCGCTGCTTTTCTTTCCTTTTTGTTTTGTTAGCCTCGTCCTTGTGACAGGCAGCACTTTGTACAGTTGACGTTCTTACGTCGTTTCTCCTGAAATGAAATCGCAGTTCTCCTGCGTTTCCTCAAAAAATAATTAAGAACAACCCACTCAAGAAAGCAAAGATCAATAGAGATACAATTTGTGACCCCAAGGGAAAACAAATTGATTCGCGAAAGAAATAGATCAGGAATTTTTATTGATGTATGTTGTCAATCCCCTAAGGGCGATCTCAATATATTCATAATACCATTTTAATTTGTGATTTGGAGGGCATATTCCTCTTTGAATTATGCAGGAACTCAAAAAGCACGTGTAATTACTTTACTATGTGCATATCCAGCATCCTGTGTAATTAGCCTACCGAGGTTAATTATAGCATCACATATGAAATGGCATGACGATGCCCTTGCATTGTGCTCCTCTCCCATTTAATTAGCTAGCGCCATTGATTTGATCGGTTCTCTCTTCTCCCATCGGCTCATATGCAGCCACCGACCATTGTTTCCCTTGTCGTTTGCATTTGCTTTGACCGTGCACATCCCAACTCTCCTTTTTTCTATGGTATTAAACCCATTAAGCGTCACGTGAAGGGCGGCCAGCCAGCTATGCCATGTGGCGGAAGCTGGTTGGCCGTGATGAGAAATATTTTAGAAAAAAATTAAATGAAGGTGAGGATTATTTTTAAATGTATTTTTTTCTTTTAGATGGAGGTGAGGACCTTTCGTATTTTTAAATGGAGGTTATGCAAAGTGGCGCTCGCTGGTAGGCTGCGGCGTAATTTTTTATTTTTTATTTTTTACTTGTTTTTTAGATGAAGATGAGGAATTTTTTTTCTAAGATGTTTTTTAGACAGAGGCAGGGACTATGTATTTTTTTTATAACGGAAACGTGCGCAAAACTTTCTCTTAAGCGACATCACAGGATGGCGCTGCAACCACTAGTACTTAAGGCATCTGTCTCTTTGATTGATCGTACGTGCGTGCATGCATGCTTTCGTACTGCTATCTTCCCAGCCTCGTCTAGAAATTCATTCAACTGCCACGTGAGTGCAAGTTACGTAGACGTGTATTAACTGGTCTGGATGGATATGAGGTACCTAAAACGATCGATGCAAGGAAACACCGGTAGATTAGGTTGGACAAAGAATAGTTTGGGCTGAATTAGTTGATTAGTGCTAATTCTGGATCAGGCCCATGATATATTACAAAACAACGTGGCAATGAAGGTAGCGACGAACTAGTTGCATATATATCTTCCCTCTAGTTGGGGTTTCTCTTCCTCTCGGGGCGATGTCCGTCGCCGCCGTTGAGACCTGAAATTCCCTGACTCCGCCACGTTTCCCAGCCGTCTCCCCTTGATCGGGGCGTCTCAGCGCTCGCTGGTCCAGGCGTGGGTGGCGGGAGGGGGACAACTAGGGTTGCATCTGGAAGGCCCAACTGTTTCTGTCGGGTTAGGGATCTAGGAGAGATGGCATCAGACGAGGCTTCGAGGTCTGCTACGGCTGGACTACCGGAGGTGGATGATGTGGCAACACTGATGGAGGAGCTTGGTCTGCGTGAGGAAGACCTCGACGATGTGGTGTTCGATGACAAGGATGTGCCGCCTCGCCGCCGGAGGTGGCTCGGTGGATCGCACTCGCTAAGGTCCACTCTGCCAAAACCTTAGCCAATTTTCCTTTTTCAAGAACATGCGAGCTGCATGGGATCTTGCGCAGGAGGTCCAGTTCATGCCGCTAGAGGAAAATATGTATACAGTCCAATTCTCATGTTTGGAAGATTGGGAGAGAGTAACCCAAGACGGGCCTTGGCACTTTAGAGGCGATGCTGTTATTCTCAAGCCTTATGATGGTTTAGCGAAACCGCCCACTATCCAACTTGACACCATCGAGATATGGGTGCAAATATTCATGATGTACCACCCTTGTATCCTCATCTTGTGCCATCTTTGGCGGCAAAGGTGGGCAAAGTGTTATTTGCTGAACTCCAGTCTCAAGACTTTGCGGGGAATTTCCATCGGGTCTGGGTAAGGATCAACATTACAAAACCTCTGAAGAACGCATTCTCCATGATACGGGAAGGATGACGGCAGATATATAGGGTGAAATATGAGAAACTTCCTGATTGGTGTGCGGTGTGTGGAATGCTGGGTCACCTCTTCAAAGAGCATGGCAGCGGTATTCACCCCCACATCGGCGTTGGTATTTAAGGATCTGAGAGCAACATGGGCTATGCGCACAGGTCAAGGCCCTAGTGGTGGACATGGACGCAGAGGTGGACGTTGGGGAGGCCATGGTGGCCGGGGAAGCAGTGCCCAGGCTGACCATGCGGATGTTCACAATGGAGAGGACTACGTTGACAAAAAGGCTGATACTCAGATGACTGATGCGGAGCTAAACAAGAAGAGGGTGCAGACTACTGTCACGGCTAATAACCAGCTGGTCATCTCGGGTGGAAACAATAATGGTGGCTTGCTGGCGCTTCCACCGCGCAGACACCCTGTCAGCCCACCAGCAAAGCCAGAGCAGAAAAGGGCCAAGATAGGACAGACAGGGGAGAACAGTATCCCGGAGAAGACGAACACCAAGAAAGGAGGCAAACATTCAGATGCAGCATCAGCGGTCTCTCAGGGGGAGTGCCGCCGGTCACAATGAGTCTCCTCAGCTGGAACTGCCACTGCGCAGGCA